CTGCTTTACTGATGAAGACAAGTATCAAAGAAACTTTGCATTGGGAAGTGAAGGGAAAGCCTTTCTTGGCCAGGACATGGGTGGGGGTTTGGGTTAGAGAAGCCTTGTAGTTATGAGCAGAGGATTGGATCAAAGGCATTCTAGCTCGGAAAGGAGCACAGTATAAAGGACTAAGATGGTTCATTAGTGTACAGGCTGGCAACAATTTGTAGGAGGAAAGAAGTACAGTGAATTCTGTCAGCTATAGGACTAAAGAAAACTCAGGGAAACATTTCAGAAAGTACATGCATACAAATCCAGGAAACAAATTTATGGGGATCTAATCTCTGCTGGGTGTTAATTAGGAAATTTCTAGGAAACTCAAGATTTCTCTACTCCAACTAACCCAACACTCACTGTCATTCCATTGACACCACACGGTGAATTTATTTATTCATTCCTAGTTTTACATAATTCATGTCAATGACTCAAAATTACCAACCCTTGTTTAAATCTCTCACTTTTGGAGGCTTATATTTGTGAAATTTTAGTAATACATAGGCCCATGTATCTTTCAACATATGAATTATCCATAACTAAAAAAAATGCTCAGTCATGGACTCATAATTTTAGACCAAAACTTTTTCTCATCTGAAAAATTCTCTCAATATACTGACTAGCTAGATTGTCAACAGAGAATCAACCCAGAAATGTGGGACTTATTCTTGATTCTTTTTTATCTTTATTAACAGATATCAGTTTACATTTTTATAATTTTAGTACGATTACCTCTTTTCCCACTTTCATCTTCATAAAACAGACTTCCATCAAATAAACAAGTTCTTCTTTCCACAACTAATCCACCCACTAGTCTGTTCCCTGACCTTTTCTCTTACTGACATTTCAGTTTCTTCTCCCAAGCTTAAATTTTTCAGTTCATAGTTTTGTACTTGCAGCACCAAAATGCTCAATGATAATATTTGTCATTAATCATAAAATAGTCTCATTTTAAGCACATATCTATAATTTCAAAAAAGCAAAGGACTTGCATTAGGATGTTGTATTTTTACTGTTTAACCAACTTCTTAATTCTATTTTAGATTTTAAAAATGCATAGAGCGTTTGAAAATACCTTTCTAAAAAAGATGGTACATGATTATTCATTATTTAAGATGAAAAGTTTTAACATGGGTGAACTAATAACTTAGGATTAATTCATAAGATGCCTTCCTACTCTAAAGAGAAAGGCAAATGCGTATACATTATGTGTTTTACATTTTAAGTACCTGTTATTATGTCCATGATGAATGTACTAAACATCAGATACCAATCTAATTTTTTTATAAACCTTTGATTTGAAAATAGACAAAAATTAGCAAATAAGTAATAAATTTACTTGAAGTCATGCTTTGCCCAAGTCAACAAAAGATATGAATGGAACTCTAAGATGAAAGTAGGTATGTTGCTTGGAAAGTCAGGCATTAATTCTATATTACTACAGAACTGACTCCATCCAGCAAGGAACAACTGAAGGTCTTGCCTTTGTCTGGATTTCTATCAGCAGAATTAAAAGGGGGGGGTGACCTGAAAAGCAAAGTTATTATTTAAATTGCAAGGCACCTTTTTTAAATATAAAAGTCTTTCCTGTTATGCAAAAGAAGTTTATAAACTAGGTTCCACCTAACTGAATAACGTTTTAGCATGGATTTGGATATGATGTCTTATTAAGGCTTCTGCTCTGGAGATTATCCCACGGAGAGAATGAGAAGCAATCCCATTACAGGCAGCATAACTCTGCTTCTCAATGCACAGGAATCTGAGATTGACTTTCTATCTCCTCATTTTCTGAAGTTTAAACACCAACGTTAGAGTTATATTCCTTAGTGATCAGCTGATTGGTGACAGAATATAGGACTCCAGAGAATTAGCTAAATTTCAGTTGAAAGAGAATCAGAGTTAGAATTGACTTCATAGTCATCATTATTTTTATAAAAAGTAATAACAATGCATTTCGAAAATGTCATTTTAGTATTATAGTAACGAGGACACAGGAGATAGATTGAACCTGAATTACCTAAATGTGGCTGAGGAAGAAGAATTTCCAGCTACAATACTTTTAAGGAAACAAATAGCCAGAAAACTCCTGCATCAAGGTAAGTATGGGGATAAATATGTATGTATATGTATATGTGAGTGTGTGTGTGTGTGTGTGTGTGTGTGTGTGTGTGTGTATATAAAGGAAACCAACTGGAAACCTGGGAAGCAAACTAGACTATTGAAAATTAGCATCTTTCTTTACGGTAGAGAAAATGAGCAGTATATATATATATATATATATATATATATATATATATATATAGCATTTTACATATATTTTTGGGGATTTATATCTGATATTACATGAAAACTATTTTTTTTTTCAAAATCATCCTTCAGACTTTACTCACAATTCAATGAATATCATGGCTTCTTAATTTGTTCTCACTGTATGGCCCAGAGTGAGTGCAGCCTCTCTGTCTGTGTACCTTAGCCTCTTCTATATCAGCATTTATAGCGGGGTCCCACTTTTCCTCACACCAAGCATTCTCCTTAACTGATCAATTTTGATAGTATATTATTCTTCACACTTGTCTCACTCATTTTTCAGTACTTTTGTTCCTTTAAGACACTGTTTCAGCTTTATGTTTGAGACATGACAAGGCAATATCATACACTAACATATCTCATCTAGAAAGTGATGATAGTTACAAAAGCCTTACACAGAATTCAAGGATCTGTAGTAAAGGCAAGCATTTCTAAGCTAATCACAAAGGCCTCACTGTGGAGGTTAAGATTCCAACAATCAAGGGAACAAATAGCTAGCAGGGGATTCTCCACAGTTTAGAGCCTCTGAAAGGGTCACATTCCTTCCAAGCAGGAGATATGTCAAGGATGCTGGTAAGATTAGAGCAATGCTGGAGGCACAGGGCAGGGCACAAGATTGAAGATGTGGCAGTATAGAGTTTCAAAGGGTAGATGACAGAGTATGAAGTATTCTGTATCAAATTCCCTGGAGGATCAAAAACAGGTTGATGATGTAACTCATGTTTTTAAACAAAAGAAAACAAAACCTACCCCTGGACCCAGCAATACCACTCTTGGGAATATACCCAAGAGATGCCCTATCATACAACAAAAGTATTTGCTCAACTATGTTCATAGCAGCATTGTTTGTAATAGCCAGAACCTGGAAACAACCTAGATGCCCTTCAATGGAAGAATGGATGAAGAAAGTATGGAATATATACATATTAGAGTACTACTCAGCAGTAAAAAAACAATGACTTCTTGAATTTTGCATGGAAATGGATGGAAATAGAAAACACTATCCTGAGTGAGGTAAGCCAGACCCAAAAAGAGGAACATGGGATGTACTCACTCATATTTGGTTTCTAGCCATAAATAAAGGACATTGAGCCTATTATTCGTGATCCTAGAGAAGCTAAATAAGAAGGTGAACCCAAAGAAAAACATATAGGCATCCTCCTGAATATTAGCCTTCATCAGGCGATGAAAGGAGACTGAGACAGAGACCCACATTGGAGCACCAGACAGAAATCTCAAGGTCCAAATTAGGAGCAGAAGGAGAGAGAGCACAAGCAAGGAACTCAGGACCGCGAGGGGTGCACCCACACAGTGAGACAATGGGGATGATCTATGGGGAACTCACCAAGGCCAGCTGGCCTGGGTCTGAAAAAGCCTGGGATAAAACCGGACTCTCTGAACATAGTGGACAATGAGGACTACTGAGAACTCAAGAACAATGGCAATGGGTTTTTAATCCTACTGCACATACTGGCTTTGTGGGAGCCTAGGCAGTTTGGTTGCTCACCTTACTAGACCTGGATGGAGGTGGGTGGTCCTTGGACTTCCCACAGGGCAGGGAACCCTGATTGCTCTTTGGGCTGACAAGGGAGGAAGACTTGATCCTTGGATAATAATTAAATAAATAAATAAATAAATATTCCCTCAGAGTGGAAAAATTACAGGAAGCAAAACCTTTCCTTGGGTCCCTGGTATACAGTGATTATACATAGACTACACAAGAAGGTCTATAGCAAGGATTAGGATTTATATGAGTTTATATGAGATAATGATTACAACTTAAATATAGGTCAAAGGAAGGGATTGAAGTTTTTATTTTAAAAGCTACATACATTAAAAAGCTGGAGATTCTAAGGATAGTTAGAGAAATTGCAAAATAGACAGGATGTAGGGAAAATGAATTTATATTTACAGGTACATGTTGAATAATGAAGAAAGTATATAATCAGTTTGAAATATGAATATAAGAATTATAAATGTGACAAACACTGTTGGATTGATTGTATTTTCTTACATGGGAAAGTATATATTTGGTTCTTTTTATCTCTTCAATAATTATGAATATTTTCTTCTCATTTTTATTCCAACACACAAGGCATTGTCTTTTCTTAGCAAGAATTCAGTATTGTCCCGCCAGCCTGAGGCATAAAGTGAATCTATGGTGCAGAGGGGCTGCATAATATATACCATTCCTAACCACTGAGGAAAAAATGAGGTGTGATCCTTTCTAGTCTGGAAAATGTATTTCATTTTACTATTTTTTTAACCATTCCTCCCAAATAAAAATTGTAAATAAAGAAAATGAATTAACCTTTCATAACAAATGCTATACTCAAGGTCAGTAAACTTAGCAGTTTTGTGGGAGTTACACACTATATCAAGTCAAATAAACCTAAGTCGGATGCATATGTTGTATTTGCCTGTCTCAGAATTGGTGGCGGTTGTAAGTATCACAAACAGCTTTTATTACAAGTTGACATATTTGTTGAGATAATACCAGCAACATGCAAAATGATACATTTTGAACGATAAATTTCTAAGACAGTAACTAGGTATGAAAGGAATAAATGCTGTGGAGCTGCTGACTGCTAACAAATTTATCCACACAGGCAATGGTGGCTAGACCAAAGGGAAATCTGCAACAGAGCATAGCTTACCAAGAGGCTGGCCAGCGATGACCCTGGCATTTTCTCCAGCCACTGCTGCTCTTGCATGGCGCTCACTCATGTACTGGACAAAAGCGTACCCTTTGTGAACGGAGCAGCCAACAATTTTCCCGTACTTTGAAAAAATAGCTTCAATGTCAACTTTTTTGACGATGGCTGTATTTAAATTGCCGATGAAAACCCTCGAGTTGATGGACTTGGGGTCATTCTTATTGGTCACGTTGCTGGTCTGTGTTTTGCCCGTCATGGTTGTCTCACCTTGTTTTAATCCTTAAACAAACAAACAAATAAAATAATAAGAAAATGAAACTACTAAATTCAATATAAATCTCCGGATTTGAACAGGTTTAAAACTGTCCTGTAGAAACTCAAATCCCTAAATATCACAGATAATCTTGTAAAGAAAATTTAGTAATAACAAAGGTAAACATTGCTTGAATAGACCATGTTGGGGAATTACCATGATTAATTACATATAATTTTCAAAAATGCCTCATTTCTGTATTCAATGTTCAGTCCTATATATGACTGAATGTTTTGCAGGTGTCTTATATTTAAGTGTATCTTCATTTGCTATGGAAAATTTAAGGAATACACCTTTCATTCTGTGAAAAGAAAAAAGAAACTAAAAGTCTGCATGTGCAGGTTTGTGGAACAGAATATTTCATTACATAAGCACTTTATAGTGTTTGAACACAGGCAGTGTGCTGCTATATGCTCTGTAACAGGCACACTGGTTTCCTGCTCCGACAGAGGAATCCTATGGTCAGACAACAACCGATTCCACTAAAGGCTAAGGGAAAAAAAAAGGAAAAAGTTATTATTAGAAACTTAATTAGGACTTTTTTTCATTTTTTGGTTAAAGGAAGAATAATTAGTTCTGTTTATGGCATTTAATTGAACCAATAATGCATGTTATTTATTTATGTAAATAAAAAAAGACATACACAGCCATTCATCAATACTCAGAAATTGCAGGAGAATACTGTGACTTTTTTTCTTAGTCTCATTATAAAAAAAAAAAAACTCAATAAAGTTTTTGTTTGAAGACCTTAAAATCCATTTCCATATTTATTGAGAGTTGCTAGTTTGCCAGGTGTCCTCTTTTCTTTAAGAAAAACCATTATGTGAAATGGAAATCTTAGGAGGATTAAACTCCAGTGTAGATGGTCATTGCTGAAGGCTAGTCAGTGGGTGCATTTTTTTTTTTTGGTGACATCTTGCATATTTATATGAAGACATTATTTAAAATATTTCAGCTATAAGATAACAAGTGCAATTGAGGTTTAAGAATAATTTTAAAATGACAGTTTTTATTTCCTTGTTAATCTAGAAGTCTCAAAGCCCCATGAATTAGGTATGCTTGAAAATTCACTCACTATGCATTGAATAGAAGTGCTCTTGAAATCAAGCTCAAGCTAGTAGCTTAAAAGTGTTTCACATAAGGTGTGCATTCAAACTGCCTAGGCTCCCACAAAGCCAGTACGTGCAGTAGGGTCAAAAACCCACTGCAATTGTTTTTGAATTCTCAGTATTCCTCATTGTCTGCTATGTTCAGCTAGTCCGGATTTATCCCATGCTTTTTCAGACCTAGGCCAGCTGGCCTTGGTGAGATCCCAATAGAACATCCCCATTGTCTTAGTGTGTGGGTGCACCCCTCGTGGTCCTGAGTTCCTTGCTCGTGCTCCGTCTCCTTCTGCTCCTGATTTGGACCTTGAGATTTCTGTCCGGTGCTCCCGTGTGGGTCTCTGTCTCTGTCTCCTTTCATCGCCTGATGAAGGTTGATATTCCTGAGGATGCCTATGTGTTTGTCTTTGGATTCACCTTATTTAGCTTCTCTAGGAACATGAATTATAAGCTCAATGTCCTTTATTTATGGCTAGAAACCAAATATGCAGTTTGAATGCACACCTTACGAGACCTGGATAGAGGTGGGCAGTCCTTGGGCTTCCCACAGGTCAGGGAACCCTGATTGCTCTTCGAGCAGATGAGGGAGGGGGACTTGATCGGGGGAGGGGGAGGGAAATGGGAAGCAGTTGTGGGGACGAGGCAGAAATCCTTAATAAATAAATAAATTAAAAAAAAAGTGTTTCACATAAACCTTTTCATTGTTACCTCTGAGGATTTTCTAACTTTTTTTTTTTCAAAATAGACCCTCACACAAGTCATTTAATGAAGGTAGATATAATAAACAAAACATTAACCATTTACATAAAAATTTAAAAAATTATCAAAAAAGGATGATTTAAAACTGACCTATATTATTTCAAGCTTGGCTACATTTTAATTGCCCCTTCATTATGAACTATTGGAGCTAGAACTGTAGAAATTAAAACTAATACTTTTTTCTATTATGAAAGTATATCTCTTGCATACCTCAGGACAAATCTTTGAAAATGCAAGGAAAATTAAGGTACATATTAAAATATCAACTTCTTTGTATAATCTAATGTAGTTTTCTTTTCTTAATATCTCAGAAAAATATCAATTTATACCATAGAAAACCTAATTTCAATTTATAGTTGTATGGCAACTGTTTTCTGAAATATCATATCTGTGATATAATCAACCGTAATAAATTCCTATGCTGATATTTATTGTGTAGATAGGAACCTACTGGCTATAAAGCAATAGTAGGAACTCTTAGATGAGCTTACCTGGATGAGGTAAAATTAATTATTTGTTGACCAACTCAATGTGAGGTTGCACTTCTATTCTGAGAATTCATTATGAATGCCACCTTTATACCATCTGCTACCAAATATATGTATGTCAAGAAAAACATTAATACACCAAATAGAGCTAGATATAGTGATACACTCCTTTATTCTCAGAATTTGGGATCCAGAGACAGGAAAGACCCTGCGAGCACCAGATCAGCCAGATACAGCACATTCCTGGCCTACATAGAGAGACTCGATAAAAACGTAAATTTGCAAACACAATTGGTGATACGAAATACTCTGAAAACTGTCGGTCTTTATCTCCCCCACAAAGATTGCTTTGTTATTCACTCTCAGTCTCCATGACGATGAAAGTTCCATTGAAGTTGTCTGTGTTACCATGTCAATGTTTTCTAAAAATCAGTCGTGGATTGGTTGCCACTGTCCTATTTCTACACTAATACTGAATTAACTAACCTATGTGTCTCTATTACATGAATGTTTGGTCCACTGAAGAAAGAGTTCCACTTACAGTCACGATGACGTAATGGAGATCAAATGACTCAAATATATATAAAACCAAGTAAATACAGACCGTATATCTGGTATTCAGACAATGCTTGTGATGGACATCTGTCTTCTAGGCAAAAATCTACTGGGCAACGTGCAAAAACAAATGGATTAAAGCTTAAACTATGAAAATCTGGAACATCTCAAAGAAAAAGTAAGGCCTTTGTTTTTTTGTCCCCCTCCAAAGGTAAGCAAGGTCAGAGAGCAAAGGACAAATCCTGGTAGGGATTACTGAAAGGTAAGCAAGGTCAGAGAGCAAAGGACGAATCCTGGTAGGGATTACTGAAAGCACAGATGGTGGGCTCACTGTCATGAGAAGAGAGAAACCAAGCTTCAAAATATCTGAGTAGATGTAAAATGAGGAGGTAGTCTTGGGATAAGGGTTAATCAGAAAAAGAGGGTGGGAGAAGACATGGTGTCCAATGAGAAAAAGTACTTGAATTTATGCTGGTAGCCAAAACTGTAAATAAGTAATAAGATGTCAGATGTCAGGTCATGATTATAAAGTACTTGAAAAGTTGTAAGCCTGTGATTTAATAAAACAAAAAAGACTGAGACTAACTCAGTCTTCTACCAGCAGGGGGTGGAGGGCCCATACTGACCCCTGGGTCATTAAGATTAGACTTGCAAGAACGGGGCCTTAGCAATGGGTACAAATGATGCCTAAAATTTTCTTTGGGATCAATAATGCAAAACAAAACAAACAAACAAACAAACAAACAAAACAAAAAGAAAACCCACAAACACAGAACAATGATGACATGATTGTTAGCATAGGGCAGAGCATTCTTTAAAAAATATAGCTCGAGTGAACGGCCATATGAGACTGGCTATCTCCGGGATCCAGCCAAAGTTCCTTTAATTTCATCAGTTTAGAAAATATTACCACTTATCTACAGAAGAAATATTAAAGATGAATCAGATGAAAATTTAAAAGACAAAACTTCTTGTTTCTAAGATTTGAAACATACTCCATGGATATATATTACAGATGATAAGTGACTGCAGAACTGACAAATTTAATACTGCAAAAATATGGAATATCCAAAGTGCAGTAAAAAGGGAAAACCCTGAAAAATGAACTAAAGAGCTTCAGACAGCTGAGCGAATGGTATAAGGCTGTTTATCATGCATAATCCTGGAAGAATTCGCAGAAAAAATATTTAAAAATATGATGGTACCAATCCTCCTAAATTTCATAAAAATGATAATATTAAAATATTTGAGAATCTCTATGTATCCTGAGGAGAAAAATATTGCAAAGGAAAACACATGAGATACATCATAATCAAATTGCAGAAAGCCATTTCCAAGGAGCTTGAGCATTGCAAGAAACCCTGAATCCTGTCACTACAAAAAATATGACAAAAGAAGAATTAACTTTTTTCAAGGGAAAGATTTTTGTTTCTATTGTTTTTAATAAGTTTTCAGAGAGAGAGAGAGAGAATGGTTCTGTGAAAAAAAACGCTGTGAAATAAAAGATAACTTTAAACTACTGTTGCCCCATTGAACTTTCTGTGGAGTCAAAGGTAAATGATATTTTCATTCCTCTCCTCAAAAATCTAATAGGTATACTGGAATGTGACTACTTCAAATACCACATGCATAATGTGGGAACTGAATTTCCTATGTTTCACTTCATTTAAATAAGGTTGCATTCTACTGGTTGAATTTTTAGTATTACATCAACTCAGCATGTAATCAAAAACAGTATTTATTTATGCTCCATCCATTCTTTAAGAATAAATTTGTTTTGAGATTAGAACATATAGGGCTCTGGTAGTATTAAGTATATTTTAAATAAACAACAAGTAAAAAGTTCAAGTACCAGCTTCTAGGTAAATACTAAAATTACTAAGGATTTTCATTTTTAAAACAGAACATGTCAATGAATCCTGTAGAAATCATAAATAATGTAGTTAGAATATATCATTTTTAAATGTATTTAAGAGTCTTACTCTTAAACTATTGCAAGATATACTATCTATAAATTAAAGGCAGCTTTAGTTTAATTTAGAGAAAATATCTTTGAAACAG